TGAATTCACATATTTTTATTTGTCCAACTACCCATCCTCCCAAGCCTTCACAAAATTATCATTTTGAATTATAATATATTAATTTGATGATATTTTGTCTTCAATATTTAATATCATGGTTCAATTATTATATGTGAAAGAAAAGATGATTAAACACAAAATCATATAGTATAAAATTTGAGAACTAGGTATGAACATAAGTATTAGTAAAACTTTTTTTTTTTCTTAAGATGATTTGCAATCATTCTAACTTATAAATTGTATTTCTTGGTACAATAAAAATATTATTTTGAATGTTGCATAAGATATGGCAACTTGTTCAATCTATACTAAAAGAGCTTACATTTTTACATATTAAGGAGTTAGAATGGTTTGTGCATCCTCCTCCTTTAATTTGTAGTGACATAATAAAAAATCATGTACTTATTCTTGATTCACATCAAGTCCTTGCCTTCTACCTTATTCTCTACAAGCTTAATTATAGCAAACACATTAACATGATTGATCCACTAGCTTTAAACCTTTAGTATCAACAGCTACAAAAACCAAATACCAAGTCAAAATAACTTTCGACACCATTAAAATAGATATTTAATCAAGTAGTAAAACGACTAAGAATTAAACTAAAGTTGAAATTAATAAAAAAAATTAAAAAAATAGAAATAAAAGTGCTTGTAATTAAAAACTTACACTTATAGTAGCAATGTGTTTTGTCACCCGACATAAACCATGAACTATCATATTATTTTAGACTATTTTCTTCTCATTATAACAATGTTTATGGAATATTTATCTTTTTATATTTACATTTCCAAATATTAAATGTCACATGACTTACATTTTACTTCATAACCCAAAGTTTTCTCTTGCTATTCCACATCTTATTTGCTTGCTATGCTTGCATTTCTAAAGTTCTTTTTGAATGCAATTCAGTCAACACATCTGAGAAATACACTTGGATACATGGGCATGACAAATTACATGCTAAATGCTAGAAATGTAAAAACATAAAAATTAAATGGTATATATGTAAATTGCAAATCTTCCATAGATTAAACAGACCAAGTTACAACAACAGCAACAAGAAAACAGCATATAATTTATTCAAATAACACATACACATTGGAGAAAACAACATAATGCAGATGATCAGTCAGCCACACAAAGCAATAAGCCAGCATTGCATTATTACAGACATAATCCTCTCTATAAAGCTGCTTATATGCATAAGCAGGTACTACATTACAGACATAACATCTCTATAAAGCTCAAGCAGCAGGTGCAACCTGATCGTCGTCGTCGTCGTCGTCGTCGTCTCCATCGTCTTCCCTTTTCATTCTCTCAGCATCAGAGTAGATCTCACGGGTTGCAAAGCTCGTAGCCATGCGATTCCGATCGGCGGCTCCTCCCACAACCACCATTGCAGTTGAGAGAGATTAAGAGATGGGGAGGTATGGTTTCCTAACAGTGTTTTCTCACGTATTTATAGTGTATGAGAAAATGGACAGCATAATATTTCAGGAGGGACAAAACTGACATTTAGTGATGTGCAAAAGATCATATTGTACTCTCATATAAGTAAAAATTTGAATTTGAGAGAATAGATTGCCCTCCAGAATCCTACCTGGGTCCGCCCCTGCATGAGAGAGGAGCAAAGTTGGGCATGGATTGATTCTTAAAATGAGGAGAGAGAGAGAGAGAGAGGAACAATAATAAATAGTATTCCCTTTTCATAAAATATTTTTCCTATTTATAGAGGTGGCAGTACAATTATGATGTTACATTTTTACCCCCATATGGAGAGGATCTATACTGGGGTATTTCTAGTATTTTACTAGCATGACCTTATCGTCTGATTGCTTTCTAGCACAACCAGCTATGCCTAGTCGACTTGGATAGATGGGGTCAACTCGATCGGTTGAGTTTAGTCTGTTGTCCAACTTAGTTGACTATCTTCAGTCCCTAGTGAGGAGTATTCAGGTTTTCCTAAAATGGTCAAAGACACTTTGCAAAATTAACTCTTATGTTGGGTCGGCTCCACTACGAGATAAGCTACCATATCGAGTTGATTTTCCTGCAGTGGATAACTCGAGCATTCTTATTTCTTATTTCTAGTCAGATTGCTTTCACTTTGATCACCTGCAGGTCTTTTTATTGTCCGCTTTTTGGCTTGATTGGTTTTGGCATATTTGACTTTGGCCGCATGGCTTGACTCGTTCAGTTAAGTAGACCTCACAATCTCCTTATAATGGACTTGCCTTTGTCGTGTTCTTCTCTTGTGAGTCGTTAGTTCTATTTAAAATCAGTGCAATTGTCGTGTTCTTCTCTTCTGAATAATTAGATCTATTTAAAATCAGTGCATACACCTTTTTATGTGCAATTACATCCGATTGATTTTCTTTTGAAAATGTCTTCATTTGGCAACTGCAATGGGGAAAAGAATAATTCTGGGGGTGTAGTGCAATGCCCTAGCAAGTGTAAGTGCTTTAAACTCGGTTTTCTTTTCATTTAAGTTAGTTGGCTTACTTTATAGTTTAGGGTTTAGGGTATATACTGTTGAATTGTCTGGAGCAATGTTGAATTGTCTTTAGTTCAAAAGTTAGGCTTTCATTGACCACAATTGACCAAGATATGTGTATTAGTTGACCAATATTTACTAAAATCGATTAACCAGCAAACTTGCACAGACCACCTCATTATTCAACCAGGCTCATGAAGAGTAATGATTTGATATTTTCTCTTACTTTTATTTTAATTTATGGTTAGACCTCAATTGACCAACGTTGACCCAACTTAAAGAATCTATAGACCTCCCCATATCACCTCCCACTTAGGTGATGAATGATTTTAAGTGGTACCATATGTCCAAGGTTTGATTGACTCAGGCTTAGTTGATCTCGATCTGATTTTGAATTTAAGACCAAGTCATTTAAAGTGGCTTGACCACCCTATATGAATAAGCTAAAATTGACTATGTTTGTTTAATTTTGTTTAAGTTTTGAGTTCGATTAGATATCCCCCTAGGCTATACAATATGCCTCTGGTCTAATTTAAAGGCTAGCATGTACTAATTCCTTACATTTGAGCTTATTTGGATAGTTTGATTAAGAGTTTGAGATTTAAAATTTTAATATTAATCCAACACCTTCCCCAATCATCATAAATTTATGTTATGCAGTCAAGAGACATGAAAATATATTAATTTTAAAAATTTATAAAATTCTCTAAATTAATTTATATATTATTTATTTATTTATTTAATGAGATTTTTTTATATTTTTAACTAGAAAAAATTAATTTTAACTCCAAAAAAATTGAAAAAAATTATAGATGTTTCAAGGATGGGTCCTTAAATTTGTTATAAAAAATTTAGATTAATTGGAAGTCTTTTGATCAAATTATGATTTAATTAAAGTTTAATAATATTTATGGAATTTAAAATTTTACAAACATATTGCTAGTTAATTAAAATTCATGTAGACACACACACAAATATATATTTTTTAAATTATTTTAAACTAAATTAAGTTATAATTCAACTTAAATAGATTAATTTTCAAATTTTAATTTAATTTAAATTGGTCCTTCCACAAACCTCACCCAGCCACTAACGGGCAACCTCAAAATGGG